TACAAGGCCTGAGGCAGTTCAGACAAAACTCTGCACCCAGCTAATTAAAATTACGAGTATTCAGGGATGTCGGTTGTATATATTTATCCCAATGCAGCCTCTGTGATCGAAATAAAGTATTATACCAGAAAACTTGAACCTAGTACTATTTACTCAATTTGTTTGAGAGACACCATCAAACTAAACCAGAGATTTGGGTTGGGGATGGGGCTTTCAAGCCTTCTGCTTCCCCCCACCCCACATCTCACGGACGTACGGCTTGGCACCGTGCCTTTCATAAGCAGCTACCAACTTTCAACCCCACCCCCTCCCCAAGGCCCCAGATATGCTTGAAAAAAGCAAATGGGCTCAGAATTTAGCTCTTAACGAATCGTGGGCTTTGTTTGTTTGTTTGTTTTTTTCCTTTTGTTTTGTGGACTTGGTTTGTCTGTTTATGTTTTTTTCACAACTAGAGGCAACTACAGTTAAAACTATTTCCATTTTATATCGTCACGGTGAGCTCTAAGACTGACGATATTTCAAGCGATGAACGCAGAATTTTACTTGTTTGGAGTCATTATGTTTTGAAGAGAGTTTCATCACGCGGCATTGTTAATCTCTTCGGAGAAACAATCTCTTGTAATTCATAACAAAGAGAAGCCAATTTTTGACATCTTCTGAAAACGACCCACCACGCCACCTCAGATGTAAAAATTGTCCTTCGGGGCCTCCTCTCTTAACCTGGAGACAAAGGTTTGCTTATTTTCGGTGCTGCATACATACATACGTAAAGCACGGTACCTGCATGGTACAAGTTTTTTTCACTTTTTACTTCACGCAGCAATAGCATCAATATGATGACCGATAAAATTCTCGTTTCCAGAGCGGCCAGTCTCTTGCGGTCTCCTTTTCCTCGTGCCAAGGCCTTACCGGGTCAGAAGGACTGGTGACTCTGGGTACAAGAGTGAATCATGAACCTGCACTCGCAACTCACATAGGGGACCTGGTAAAAATCACTTACGTCACGTATCGCTGTCATGTCAATTGACATGTGATAATTAATCTGGCTTTTCTCGGAAAGATAGTTTCGGAAATTACAAGAGCATTTCCCAGAATCGTTGAGGATTCTTGGAGAGGGATCTGTTTGTTGACATTTGCGCTGTGTTCGTTGGTTTGTGAAAAGCGAATACGCCGATTCAAAAGCAGTTTGAAACTAAGAAAGAGGTCAGAAAATCTTTCAGTATGTTATATCGTAGAAACGTCTTTAGCAGAAAATCAACGGTTTGTATGACTGCTCGAGGAGGGCGAAAAAAGTCGCTTTTTACACCTGCTTTCAGTGTTACGTGCATAGCAACCATCTTTCGGACATGCCATCTTTCGACATGCCATCTTTCGACATGCTATATAACCTGGCCTACGTCAAAAATGTAAGCACAACGGACTTCTTTATGGTCAAACTCAACTTTTAGTCATGAAAGGTGGATTTATTTGACATCAATCTCGGGTTAGGAGATCAAGAAATCATTCTGTGAGAGACACATTGTTTACATCTCTCGAATATTAAACTGAGAGGTAGCGGCCCAATTCGCTCGTATGTCGGTACGATTTGTTCTGAGAGGGAGAACAAATTAAATTCGATAACAAAGCTACGAATAACATCACAACACATATGCAACATTTGTGAGCGTCATCCATCAGTGATATTTAAATCCCATTCGGAATACTATTAATTTTAGACGCTTTATCAGGGTTCCAACGAAACTATCCTGTCCAAATAATAATAGAACTCGTTTTAAGATAAAATGATCGAATGAAACTGGTGACTGATTTGTCGGGCGGCCTATAAAAACAACTGACTCTGAATCATTTAGAATCATAAAGGCATGCGATCCATCCCCTTGAAACGTTCAGTAACTATGCACTACCAGCTACCAGTTCAAAGCTAAAGTACAGTCACGCTATCTGTTTTGCCCTTGTCGATTGGTAAATTTTTTAGGCCTTACTGAATTGTATCGAATTGTTTTCTGTAATCATGTGACGCTGTCAAGTTCGCTTTAAAGGAGAAGACCTAAAGCGCAAACTGACACCGTCCATTTTTAAGACCTTAGGCCCAATTCAGACGTCGTGTTTCTGCCGTGCCG